CGCCAGTTCGAATCCCCCTCCCGGCAGCACGGGCGGCTGGCCCCGAGGTTGTCCGTGCCCCCGGGTCCTGCTGCCTCCACCGGGGCCTAGGTGCATTGCCATGGGTGGCTTATATATACATTCAGGGACACACACGCACATATATACATACGCACATATGTATATATACACTATACGTAGCATCACTGCAGGCTGTTTCTCAATGCCGAAAGACATTCCCCCCTGCTAGGGGACAACGGGCCACCTGGTGTCTGCCATAGCTCCCCCAAGACTAGTTTTATCACCCCACTCTGAGCCTTTTTTCATGCTGTTTTAGGAACCAACAGGAGCAGAGGAGAGGGGATCTCCTCTCACTTGCTGGCACAGCGAAGCCCCGTTCTGCGGGGAGCAGGTTGCACAGCGTAAGCTGCAGAAGACGAGCCAGCGCCCGTCTGCCTGTGGAAGAGAAAGGCTGGCCTGGGATATTTAGGTCAGATACTCTTTTCAGCCTAATTTTACTATGCAAATTTAGAACAAATCATCTTGAGTAAGAAGTGGAGTTCTTCCACATCCGGTAATAGACTCCTGTGGCCCGAATCGTTCTGCTGTGTCTCCACAGCAAACAATAAATTGCCCTTACAGCCTGCCTTCCCTGCTGACACATAACCAGAGATTCAGGACGTCACCTTCATCTCGTGCACGTGCTGCCTACCAGTCACTTCCTAAAAGGGCATAAAACTCCAGCAGTTGCAATTAGCTAATTGCCAAGGAGAGGAAACTCTCCCTGCTCACAGCCATGCCCAGCACTGCAGGTCTGCTAGCCCAGGAGGGGTGCAGCCCGCGCCCCATTGCCTTTGCCTGCAGGTTCCCTTCCAGCCTTCCCTCCTGCCTGACCAGCGCCCAGCCTTGTTGAATCACAGCCCCATGACTGCTTCGCAGTGACTAATTAGGAAAAGTGGAGTTTCTTCTGCCATTTCCCCCCAGAGACAGTTCAGCTGTCCCACGGGCAAGAGACAGGCACAAAGCGGGAGCGGAGCAGCTCCGCAGGATAATGAAACACTCTGCAAGATTTTCCGTGGCTCTCATTACAAAACACCTCCAGGGACTCATCTGTTGCAACCCGGCCACCGCCATGCTCTGCTCCTCGGCCCACCGAGCGTCTTCGCCCCCCGTGCGGCGCCCAGGGCTCCTTCTCACGCAAACCCGCTTGCCTGGCTACCTCTGTTCCCAACACGCCTGAGCCCTCTCGAGGGCCCGCTCCCAATTCACACAGGGGTGTAGCGTGGGGGAACACGAGCCCATGCTACGCAGGGGCCACCCTGTTCCTCTGGGCAAGCGGAAGACACAGGCAGGCACTGCTCATTTCGAGCAATTTGAGACTCAGGGTTCAAAGGGGCCAGTTCCTCTTTGCGTGCTCCTGCTAGTTACAGGAAGGAGGCAGTGAGAACCCCTTCTGCTCAACTAACATTAACAAAAAAAATTGTTTA